GAGGGTCCCCTGGGGTGGGTCTGGCCGCGGGGGAGGGAAGGTTCTGCTGTCAGTCTGTCCTTCGTTCTATCTGCTCTCCCTGCGACTCGGAACCAGTTACGGATCGATACCGCCTGCCTTAAAGGATGACCCCAAAGCGTGAGAACGTTCCCTTCCGGAGTGGGTGGGGCTGGGGGGAGGGCGGGGAAGGGCGGGGCAGATGGAGTTGTAAGACCATCAACAATAAAAATATATTAAAACCCGCTGTCATTTCCAGGCCGTCAGGACCAGCTTTCGGTCTGTCGCGGAGACTAGACACACTCCATTCCAGCTCCACGGGAGACGCGGCCTGAAGGGTGAAGGGCCCCTGGTCACCTGGGGTCAGAGGTCAGGCTCCCGGTGGGGTCAGCTGGGTGGGTCCCGGTGGACCTGGGTGGAGACTTGTCTCCAGATGTTTCAGAGCCAGCGATCTATGCGCCATTGATGAGCTGCTAGATCTCTCCGAGCTCATTCCCGCAGAGGGGCCTTAGAAACAGGACAGTAACGGAGCAGCCTATGGGCTCCGGATGCGTCGTCAGTCATCCTACCGAGGAGGCGAGTGCATCACCCTCCATGTATTTCCCTCCTCGGTCCTCCCTGAAATTCCATTATTGTCGAGGTGTTTATCCGGGTACCTGGAGGCTAGCTGAGCCCCCGCCTCGCTGCCTCCCCAGCTCCTGACGAGTTCGCAGGGCTTTCTCTTGTTTCATGGGAATTTCATGTGATGCTCACAAAGGGACTGTTGCACAGAAACTGTAATTATAGGCATCGTACATATAACTATTATACAGATACATAAATACTAGAGGCCTTGTGCACGACATTCATGCACGGGGGGGGGCGGGGGGAGCCCTCAGCCCAGCCTGCACCCTCTCCAATCTGGGACCGCTTGGGGGTTGTCCGACTGCTGGATCGGGCCTAAACTGGCAGTCGGACATCCCTCTCACAGCCCCCAATTGCCCCCTGCTGCCAGCCAGGTCGCCCCCAACTGCCCCTCCCTGCCAGCCTGGTTGTTCCTAACTGCCCCCCTCTGTCGGCCTGGTCACCCCACGCAGCCTGCTGTTTGGTCGTTTGGTTGTCCTTCTCTAACCCCTCTGCTGGCCTGGTCGTAGGCAGCCATCTTGTGAGGGCGTGACAGTCAGTTTGCACATCACCGCTTTATAGCATGGTTCTCAACCTTCTGGCCCTTTAAATATAGTTCCTCATGTTGTGACCCAACCATAAAGTTATTTTCGTTGCTACTTCATAACTGTCATGTTGCTACTGTTATGAATTGTCATGTAAATATCTGATATGCAGGGTGGTCTTAGGCGACCCCTGGGAAAGGGTCATTCGACGAGACCTGCTATTACATAGGATGCCGTTATCATACTGTTAAGCAGCAAAAGGTGAACCAAGTACATTGTAAAGGCCCAACGGGCTGACTGAGGGCTCGCAGGTGAGGCGGCGTCCCAGCCAGCAAGTAGGAAGGCTCCCGAGGCTACAGAAATGGGAAGGGGGCGTGGGACAGGGAAGTCCTACTTTTTAAAAAAGGATTATATTCCTTCTTGGGGGACAGTTGGGAGGATTTAAATTTAAATTTTGGGTATTAACACCTCCTTGATGCTGACCAGGAGACGCCAAACTGGCGGGCTAAGATTACAATCCCGGGGAGGCTGGAACTAGAGCAGTGATGTGTCGGCGTGTCAGCATTTTGAAAAACCCTAACTTAACTCTGGTGCCGTGTCACATATAGAAACTTTTTGATATTTGCAACCATAGTAAAACAAAGACATATTTTTGATATTTATTTTATATATTTAAATGTCATTTAACAAAGAAAAATCAACCAAAAAAATGAGTTCGCGTGTCACCTCTGACACGCGTGTCATAGGTTCACCATCACTGAACTAGAGTTAAGTCTTGGTTTGCAGATGTGGGGCTTAGCATGAGTGACCCTGTTCTGGGCCTGTTGTTTCTTTATTATTATTACTGATTTATTGGGGTGACATTGCTAATAAAATGATATAGGTTTCAAGCGTACAATTCTGTAAAACATCATCTGTATTTGTATTGTGAGTTCACCACCCGAAGTCAGGTCTCCCTCCATCACCATTTACCCCTCCTATACCCTCTTCTACCCCCACGTGCTCTCCCCTCTGGTAATCACTGTGCTGTTGTCTGTGTCTATGAGGTTGCTTGTTTGTTGTTGTTTTGCTTAATCCCTTCACCTTTGTCACCCAGCCCTGCAGCCCTCCTCCCCTCTGACAGCTGTCAGTCCGTTCTCTGTATCTAAGAGTCGGTTTCTATTTTGTTTGTTAGTTTATTTTGTTCATTAGATTCACAGAGAAGTGAAATCATATAGTGCTTGTCTTCCTCTGACTGGCTTATTTCACCTAGCACAATGCTTTCCAGGACCCACCCTGTTGTCCCAAAGGTTTCCTTTTTTACGGCAGAGTAACATTCCATTGTGTAAATCAGGGGTCCTCAAACTTTTTTAAACAGGGGGCCAGTTCACTGTCTCCCAGTTGGAGGGCCGGAGTATAGTTTAAAAAAACAACTAGTCGGCTGCTAAGCAACAGGCAGTGACGGCAAAAACACCCGGCGGGCGGATAAATGTTTTCGGTGGGCTGCATGTGGCCCGCGGGCTGTAGTTTGAGGACCCCTGGAAATGAACTGCTGCTTTTTCATCTACTCATCCACTGATGGGCACTTGGGCTGCTCCCGTAGCGTGGCAACATAACTCTGCAGTGAACATAGGGGTGCATATAGGCTTTCAAACTAGTGTTTCGGGTTTCTTCAAATACATTCCCAGAAGTAGGATCACTGGTTCATAGGCAGTTTCATGTTAATTTTTGAGGAAACGCCATACTGTTCTCCACAGTGGCTGCCCAGTCTGCATTCCCACCAGCAGTGCAGGAGGGTTCCCTTCTCTCCACATCCTCAGCAGCACTCTTTGTTTGTTGACTTACTGAATGTAGCCATTCTGACAGGTGTGAGGTGATATCTCATTATGGTTTTAATTTGCATCTCTCTGATGATTAGTGATAATCGATCATCTTCTCATATGTCTATTGGCCTTCTGTATGTCTTCTTTGGCAGTGGTTCTCAACCTTGGCTGCACGTTAGAATCAACCAGGGATCTTTTTAAAATCCTGATTTCTGGGCCTCGTCCTCCGGAAATTTTGTTTCTTTGTTATTCAGTGGGGCCACAACATTAGTAATAAAGAAACAGAATTTCCGGAGGACGAGGACCAGAAATCAGGATTTTAAAAAGATTCCCAGGTGATTCTAATGTGCAGCCAAGGTTGAGAACCACTGCTCTTTGGAAAAGTATCTATTCAGGTCCTTTGCCCATTTTTCAAATTGGATTTTTGTGTGTGTGTGTGTGTGTGTGTGTCTGTGTTTGTGTGTGTGTTTGTGTGTTGAGTTTTATAAGTTCTTTGTAAATCTTGGATATCTTGGATAGTAACACCTTATCAGATGTATCTTTGGCAAATATGTTCTCCCATTCAGTGGGGTGTTTTTTCATTTTGTTGATGGCTTCCTTTGCTGTGCAAAAACACTTTAGTTTGATGTAGTCCCATTTGTTTATTTTTTCTTTTGTTTCCCTCACCTGAGGTGCTATATCAGGAAAAATATTGCTGTAAGAAATGTCTAAGATTTTACTGCCTATCATTTCTTCTAGGATTTTTATGGTTTCGTATGTAACATTAAAGCTTTTGGTTTTTTTTAACTGAACCACAAGAGGGGCTCCCTTGACAAGCCCTACAAACTCATTAACTGAAAGTAACCACACAGGATGTGTTAATCAAAACATTCCTCACTCAGTGGGTGTGATGGGAAGTCCCATCGTACAGCCTATATGATAGACTGAGCTTTACCGTGAGCAAGCCCGGCCCATTGTTTTTGTATACAATGGAACCTCGATTCTTGAACTTAATTCGTTCTGGAAGGCTGTTCAGGAAGTGATTTGTTCGAAAACCAAAACATTTTTTCCCATTAGAAATAATGTAAGCCCGGTTGCTGTGGCTCAGTGGTTAAGCATCAACCTATGAACCAGAAGATCACGGCTTGACTCCTGGTCAAGGGCACATGCCCGGGTTGTGGGCTCCATCCCCCGTAGGGGGCGTGCAGGATACAGCCCCTTCAGTCCGCAGGCCAAGGCTCTATCTACTGAGCCAAACCGGCTACGGCACAAATATATTTTTAAAAAATAAATAATGTAAATTGCATTAATTCATCCCATTCCCCCAGATGATGCCCTGTTTTAGCCTTTCTTATACACCGTGCACATCTAATGTACTGTTTAACCTACAAAAAAACACTTCTTTCCTTTCATTTATCCAGTCATCCCCCAGGCTGTCAGATGCAGCAGCTTTGCTGCCTCTATCCCATCTGGATCCTGCCACTGGCTCCCTGCTTCTCCCTGATCCAAACCAGCAATGTTCTTCTGCGTCTTGCATCGCCTGTGATCCTTGTCCCTGTCCCACCCTCAGCACCATCAAGGTCTTGATGGCCTCTTTATGTTTAAAATTGTGCTAAATGTCCATTTTGCCAGCAACAGAAACAAATATTATGGAAAAGTGTCCTCGGGTGACCTTACCTAAAGCCTAAATAATCCTTTTTAAAAAACATTGGATTTCCCTGTCCCACCCACTCCGTGCTTTTACAAACCTCCCGTTTCCGTAGCCCCTGGAGCGCCTGTCCACTTGCCGGTGGGATGCTGCCCAATCCACGAATCTTTCAGGAAAGCCAGTTAGATCTTTACAAGGCACTTGGTTCGGTTTCTGTTGCTGAACAGTACGACAAGATCATATCCCTATATCTATATAACAGTTATACTCATCCTATATAATAAAGAGGTAATAGGCAAATTGACCATCACGCCCTTGCACAAGATGTCCGCCACAAGATGGCCTGCAGGGGAGGGCAGTTAGATCTTCGCAAGGCACTTGGTTCGATTTCTATTGCTGAACAGTACGACAAGATCATATTTCTATATCTGTGTAACAGTTATCCTTACGATGTCTGTAAACCTGAAATTCTTTCAAAATAACAAGGTGACGAAATGATGGCAGGAAACTAGCTGCTACGGTGATTAGCCCTGAGGGCCCTAATCCCTGGGCAGATAACCCCTGGCGGCCAGTGAGTGGTGGCCTCAGCCCAGAGCAGCTCCCACAGGGGAACCTCGTTGTTATGCACAGGGAGAGAGAAGAGGAGGGGCTGGAGTACCAGAAACAAAGAAGGAACTAAGAGGAAATCAATGTGATCACTTGACACATCTCGCCCTGTCCAGAGAAAAGCACTTTGCTCGACCAGACATTTCCAGCTGTGGCCGCAAGAACGTTTAAAACACGCAGCACCTGACTGTTCAGTCGGGCACAGCCTCTTTTCCTTTAAACTGTCAGCCAAACAAAAAATGACAGCAGCCAATACAACATCGCTGTCCGGTGTGAAGGAATCGTGTATGCCTCATTTTTTGTCAGGTCAGCAACAGACATATTCTTGGCGTGCTGCAGAATTTTAGCAACTCGCTTATGTGCTGTGAGATGAAAAAGGTTGAAAATCCCTGCGCTGTGCGGTTTACTGTCATTTCTGTTAAAGATGGGATGATTTTACTACAGAATTCTAATGTCTAGGAAAATACTGCTATTAAATGCTACACGGAAAACATCTTTCTTCCTTATTTAAACTGGAAAGACCCTTATTCCACCCAGAATAGAGTCTCCAGTGTAAAGGTGTTGAGATCACTGCTGTTTTAGGGGCAGTTTCAGGCTGTAACAAAAAGTCTGGCTTATGAAAAAGGCAGAATTTGCCCTGGCTGGCGTA